TCCTAAGAATTCCTGCAGACCTTAGCTGACTGGTTATAAGCTAAACAGTCAGCCAAGGTCTGTCATTGTGACTCCACGGTAGTCACAATGTGGCCAGTTGAAAGCCTTGCCAAAGGAGGCACGCGTGGAACACGACTTGGCACCGTTTTAGTCCTGCTTCTCCACTTTTCTGTCTTCTTATTCACTCCTGAAGTCAGTTATTTAATTTTTTGAATTACTCATAATTACGTCATAACTTTTTTTGTGGCTAGTACGGTATTGGCTATTTAAATTTTTGAAGACACGTACTGTAATTTTATCCAGGTTTTCAGATTTTTCTCTTCGCAACCACACCCATAGATTATTCAAACCTTATTATTTTAAAGTCACTTAAAACACCCTTTTACGTGTAAAGGGAAATTCGCTACTTAAATGTGAGTTATAGGCAGTCACTGAGGGATAAGTTAAAATAAATTGGTATCATAACAGTCGGTTCTCAGTACATATATAAAAATTTAGTATATGTAAAGAAAAATATTCATTTATTGATTAAATTAAACCAACAACCACCAATTACACACTAGGAATAAGGATTAACTCTTGTTACAAACCACTAGACTACAAAAAGTAAGCGAGTCTTTTCGATGTCAGGGTGCGATTTTACAATAAAATTACAAGCAAATTTCATGAAATAAGTACTAACAAATTTAAGTCTTTAGTAAAACAAAAACTATGTGAAAAGGTAACACGGTTAAAGATTATTTCGATGATAGGTAAATATCAATGCGATTGATGCTGCTCACTCCTGCATTAACTATCAATTCCTATCATTGTTGTTTTGATCAGTGTGGACATTTATTGTATTGTTGTATTTCGTATTTTGTTTGTTTTCAATTTGTTTATTTTTTCATTAAACTTGAATTGTATAGTGTTTTTTTTTGTCTTTTTTGTTTTGACTTCTAATGTGAGTTCATATTTAGTTACTTTCTGATGGTTTTGAGTGTTTCCTCGGCCTACTTAAATGTCCTGCTGCTTAGTGTCGCGCTTTGGGTCGTTGATCTGGACTAATATCGGTTAGACTACACGATAGCTGGGGCTCGTATGCCGTCTGTATGGACTCAAAATTATAGTCCTTTCTTCAAAAGGCCTACCCAGACCCAACACTGTACTCGCACAGTTTTCTTTAACTTGGTTTTTCGACTAAAAAGAAGACACCTCTGTGGTTTGTTTCGGCGTTTCTTCCCAGAGTGAATCTTAGGAAATGCCGGCTCCATCTAGCGGTAAAGTCCGACTTGTAAAAATATCTGAAAAGATTTACTTACAGAAATAATTGTAATTTCATTAAAGCCCAGTTGATGATGTATGGGGTAAAACAATACAGACTTAAATTAAGAAAATTGTTATAAATAACTAGCACTAGCATGGATTTTAATCTTATTATTCAAATCAAATGTACAAAAAGTACAAAAAACTGTCGATAAAACACATTGTACTTATAAATATTGGACTACTTACACACGTTAAGTGTTAATAGCGTAGTTGTGGACAAGATTTACGTTTTAACCTCCCGCAGCTATCCAGACTCCCCTCACTTTATTATATTTAGTATTAATAAATTATAACACTTCTGGTAAATTACGACTATATGCAGATAACAAGCTCTGGTAACTAAGTGTGAACCAGCAATCAAGTATATAAAAGGTGCCGGACTAGTTAGCAATAATAGAGAATAAATTAACAAGGAGTTGCCAATAATATTTCTAAACTAAATGATTTACTTGTAGCAGGTTGAAGGAATTTTCATTAAAATTCTTTTAAATTTAAAATAAATAAGAAAATTAAATGTGCCAAAACATTATGTATACAAATTATATAACTCTGATAGCTCGACGCTTTTCGTTTTGATAAGCATACCTATATTTGATATTCTTGATAACATATTACTAGAGTTAAACCCACAACCATTAACTTGATCGTAAGTCCTACGACCTAGCTACTTCTCTGCTAAAACTTTAATTAGTTCGACACATTATGGACTTATTTTTAATATTAGCAAGGGCACACTATGGCTACTTCTACATCTTAAGTTTTTTTTAAAGTATACCCACCAGCACCGAGTCCCAGAACTGATAGACGCTTTGTTGGTATACTGCTACATACAGGCATACAGCTACATCATTACTACGACGTCCAAACCTTTAAGAAAAAAGAGTACCTTACCTACAACTGGCAACCCGCTTGTGACTCCCTAAGTTGCAGGCGTCATGGGTGGCTTTAGTCATAAACAACTGGCTTTAGTTTACAACTCGTTTCCCAGTTACTGGTTCCCGAGATGGCGCGCTGTAACCACCCCACCGGTTGTCCAGTCTACAACCGGATTTACGCACAGAAAAAAAGGGGTTAGCACTAAAATATTTATTTCAACATTTTATTCCTCGTATAATGGTCCTTAAAGATTGGTTGTGAGTGCCATGTGCTCTGGTTTTAATGTAAACCTGCCTGTTTTCTGTTGCATATTAAACCTCAGCGTGAAGCACATTTGCATTATAACTGTGCTCGACAACATTATTCCGGATTCAATCCTAATCGTGTTCTTGGAATATCATAATTACTCGCAAACCATGTTAAACTAGCTTTTGCTTGCGATTTCGCTTAGATCACAGTTATTTTCTATATAAGTTTAAGTAGTTACGCCGTTTAAATATTACTAAAAAAAACGTTTCAAAATGGCAGGCAATGTAACGTTCGTATTGAAATATAAATAGTTAGTAAGTTGACACCCTAGCCTTTATACCTTAATACTAAACAATCACATCACAAAAAGTTAATAAAGTTAAGGAAGATTTGCTAAAAGTAACAAGTTTTCTAAAGCCTATAAACGTCTGCCTATCATCAATCATCAATAGCCTGGTGGACATATGCCTCTCCTTAGAAAGGAGGTTTTGGCCTACTATACCACGCTGGCCAGACTGGTTGGTATAGGGTTTCTGTCAAGTTTTACTTCTCTTTTCAGTGTTTTTGTCCTGCGTAGTTTGCTCCCTTAGTCGGCTCTTACGACACCCACGGGATGAATAGGGGTGGTGATAATACATATTCTTAATCCGTCACCACACGGATGCGCCGAATATCTGCCTATATCATCGGGCAAACAGATTCGAGTGGATGTATGTAAGAGCCCTTATTTCATATCAACACATTTACAACAGACGTCATATATAAAGCAGTGACCAAACACATACCAAACGCAAACACAATTCGGCTTTCTCATAATAATATACTCACTAGGTACGTACTTTATGACTGCATCAATTATGCCTAAGCATATCCTAATTACTGTAATGGTATTAGCCTGAAAGCGGGAAGGGTCAGTGGGTGTGTGGAGAGGGAGTATTCACGTGCCCTGAAACACTGATGTGAATGTGTGACATATAATTATATACAGAGATAAACACTCAGTATTATGTTAAGGCGGAAACAAAGTTATTTACTAGTCTAGTAATTAGTTGAGATCACGTTATCACAGGCTGTGTGTTAAATGTCGAATGTATGTGACTTAAGTATGTCAACCTCACGTGGAGTACACCATTTTGTTTTGTTTCAGTCTAAGGTCATTGATGCAAAACTTCGGTTGAAATGTATACCTCGGTTGCATAGCAAAAGGGAACCAAAAGATTGCGTTATTCTTGGATAGGAATCGAACCCACGACCTTTACGACCATCAAATATTTTTTATTGTTATAATACGATTGTTACATATAGTAAAATAGCGTGTGCACGAATCAAAGTGTAAATAAGACATGGATCTCAACTCAATTTTAATATTTCCATCTCATTCACGTCCACTTACGTTAGCATTTTCCGCAGTTTTGACTATGCCCTGACTAATATCTCGATTCTTATACTGTAACTGTAACTACAGCATTTATATACGCTGTACACCAACACATACAGTTTCTATTTATGTACCTGTACACATGTATTTGTACACTTAGTTTCTATTCCAATTTAATCAACAGCAGAAATTTGAAATAGCAATGAATGCCATGAATTTTCCCCATCTTTTTGACGAGCTTATCAACGAAATGGACTATTTTATAGACAAACTTCGATTAATACCTATTTACTTGTGTTTATGTATGAGAAAAAATGAGAAAACTAAAATATTAATTAAACAAAAAACTGTTCATGAATTTTATTATTAGATTTTGCCGAATTAATTCAATTCGTCTACGTAAAATGCTTCTAAATTTTGCAAAAACGTACAGTATGAAGAAGACGACTGTATGTCATTTTTGTAATTAAGCAAAGAAGGCGACAGAAGACAGGGGTTTCGTCGCCGCCAAGAATGTTCTCGGATCTCATTTCCATGCAAATGAGGGTAGCACTTGTTATATATCAGTCGACGGTAGGCGCTTGAGATAACAGCGAAACCGAGTAACTAGGAGACGCACAACTCTGTCGGGTTATACTTGATCGATAAGTAATATGTTATGATAATGACTTCCACATACGACACTATTTAGATTTGATAGTAGATTTTAATGAAATGAAACGCTCTTGTAACATTTCCAAATACGAATATGGTTAGAGTACCTGGGCTATTTCTGTGTGCTATAATCAGACTTATACACTATCGTCAAATTTGTAGTTTTTTTTTCAACTCGTCAAAAATTTTAACCTTGTCAACCTGGATCTTGCGTAGCATTATTTGTCAAAATTTATTTGATTATCAATTTAGTTGTTAAGTTTGAATTAACATTTCGCTGACAGATTTGTCAGATTTCATAATTTAGACTGTCAACCGGTTAGAAAATAATTAGTCTTAATGGGTATGGTATAAAGTAAATAAATATGTAAATATTAAATTATTTTTTGTGATGGGAGAAAACAAAAAACGTTATGGTTTTGTTAGCAATTTATTTAAAACTTATCATTAAAATTTTATTAAAAGAAAATCAAGTTCTTTTGTTTATAAAAATACGCTAAAAGTTACACACAGACGAGAACAACTTCCAAAAACATCACAGCTGTTTTCTTTCATTTTCTAAATCATCTATTAGACGTAATATTCCCATCTTCAATTTCCTTTTTTCTTTGTTTGTAAAATCTCTAATATCTGGCAAGATACTTTTAAAAAATTGTAAATCTTCATTATCATCGTCTATGCCTTTATCTTCGCTAGAATATTTCCTTTTCTTTGAATTTCCACAGTTTGAATATTCACTTGTTTTTATGTTGTTTACGCTTTGATGGTCTAAAGGCTCAGACTTTATTTGGTTATCAGGTATACGCTTATCAGATATATTTGGTTTAGTTTCTGCAAGAGCCCAATCTTCTGTAGAGCTATTGGATTTGCTTTCGTCCTCATATATACCACATTCTTCAAATATACTTTCTTTCAGTAATGATCTATGAATTAAAGATTTTTTTATATATTTTTACACACATCACTTACGGCCGTCTGATCCCGAAATTGGGCAGAGCCTGTACTATGGTAATCAGACTGCTGAGAAAGGTACTTATATATTTGTAAAGTACAGACAGAACAAATGACGGTGCTCATCACACAATTATTTGTCCTGGGTGGGAATCAAACCCACGACATCTGGCGTAGCAGTCAGGGTCACTAACCACTAGACCAACAGGCCAGTTATTATTATTACAAGCCTGGGAGAGCCATGCTCGGCCACAAATGGGCCGGCTCGTCCGGAGTGGTACCAATTACCATGGCCTTACAGAAAACTCTTGTTAAGTTATTTTTTTGTTGCTTTTAGGTTACCGGAACAGAAATCCTATCCCCCTCCTCCATATTCTGGAGGAGATGCTCAAAGAGCGGCAGCTGACTTACGACTCTGGAGTTCCAGATGTCTATGAGCGGCGGTAGTCACTTACCATGACGTGACTCGTCTGTTTATTTGCCCCCTATACAATAAAAAAAATACAATGATCGGTTGTCACTGTCTCAGTGTCTACTTTGATCACAGGACATGTGCACGTGACCCGGGCTTCATCGAATTTCTACAATACTATACTCTTTTTTTTTCAGTGCGGAAATCTCCACTGATACCAACCACCGGTGGGGTGATTATATCGGACTCGAACCGAACAAAAACCGCACGCCACCTACACGGTACCAGTTACCGGGGAACCAGGTGTACCCTAGAAAGGAAATCCCTGGTACTACCATCCCTTACCCTTACTCTACGCAAGACTATGGAAGCTTTTATACTGAGACGAATATGAACTAGATAAATATTAATTCGGAAAATATCAGCTTTTGTATTTGAAATAATATATATTCATATAAAACCTGACTTACCCTTTTGGTTTGGTAAATGGGTCTAGAAATTTTAAAGTATCGTATAAATAATATTTTTTAAAAGGATTGGCATCCGAAGGATTTATTAATTTACTTTTGTATCTATTAAAGGAAGATCTTATGCCCTTCCATTTGGCTCTCAACTCCTCAACTGTAACAAGAATAAATAAATATTATAGACAATTGTCACATGCTATAATAATTATTTTGTAAATGGTATACTTCAGAGAAAAAATAATTATGACGTGCAAAAGAATTTCACTTAAATCCTGATATTTAATAAAAGTAATAGTATGTCCTATAATGCTGAATCAAGATACTCTATCAGCGCAACATAAGCGCAACATAATTTTTAGCGCACAACGTAAGCTAAAAAACAAATATAGAAAAAGTTTTAAAGTCGAAAATGATCCACTTTAGATACCAAATGTTCGATATTCGCTACCGGATTCATAAATAAGTACATACCTACATAAATGAATAAAATTATTCTCGCAGAAAAGGTCCAGCAAGAAAGAGAGGGATAGATAAAGGATTATTTATAAGGAACATTGTAACATACGGTCGTAGTAGATAACACGGTATAAGGAATACAATAGAGGCATACCTGTGCATTCTTCCTTAAGTTCATTTCTCACACTGGATGCTACTTTTTCCCACGACGCGTCTAATTGTCGAGTCTTGTACGCTTCTAAATTTTGATCATAGATTTCTGGATGTCGTTCTACTATTTTCGCAAACTTCACCATCAGCTCTCGCTTATCTCTCATGACGGTCTATGAAAAAAGAATGAAACTGTGAACGTCAAAGAAGACTTTGTCCAAGGGGGGGTTGTCCTCCCGGGCACTTGAGTTGACGTCTTCGCAGAAGGATGCCACCGCAGTGAAACATCTGTCTCTACTGGCCATGGAGCGTATAACGGCCGGTAGCCAGGACAGATGACAGCGCCCAAAATTGGCAGCTGAGCCGATTCCTCGCTGCATTCGCAGTGGTGACAGGCGGGACAATTCCCTCCTAGCGACCGAGTGCAGGTACTTCCCGAAGCAGCCGTGCCAGAAAGGACCTGCATCAGCCGGAAAGAAGTGCTACTACCCTGCCCACTCGTGAATAACCAGCTGGAGCGCCTCCAAGGCGGCAAAGCCAGCACGTGGAGCCTCCAGCCGGAACAACCAACGAGCTATCGTGTCTCGGCGAGCGGCCTCACGGCACTCGCGTATGTCTTCGGGCGGGGGCCGACCGCCACTATGCACACTGCCGACTACGCTGAGTATTGTGGGTTCGATCCCTACATGGGACGACACTTTGTGTGATCCACAAATTGTTGTTCTGAGTCTGGGTGTTTTTTGTGTCCGTTTCATGTATGTTTGTAAAGTCAGAGGGACTACATGAAACCGACACAAAAAATAAATTATATATTCCTAGTGCGGGAGTTGTTTATTAAATAAAAAAAAAGAAACGTGCGGCACAACACAGGTAATATTCTTAGTGCGGGAGTTGTTTATTAAAAAAAAGGAACTCAGCCGTCCGCTGATATACTTCGGCGAGCGCCTCCAAATCCCACGGGGAAGTACCGGCCACGTATACGCACGCCACCGCCGTGGAAACGGTGCGGTAACCGCGTATGGCTCTAACCGCCAATATCCTCTGAGACCTTTTCGTGAAATTTTCTTAATTGTTACCTACCTATTGATAGTAAAACTTTATCTGGAGGATTTTAAAATGATAGTAAAAATACAGAAACATGTCACAAAATTACTGCTAAAACATGTGTATATCTACCGTAAATGAAAATCAAAATGTAAATAGTTTACTTGGGAATGTTAACTTTAACAATTTAACGTTAACGATAACGTTACTTCAAAAATGGTACTGATGACAGCAGCTGTCAAATTTTTTATGTATAATATAGATTACTATAATTCCAAATTTAGTAATCATAAAAAATTGTGTCATTAAAATGTTATAAAGATGGAAGCTTAAGTGCAAAGTTTTCATCTTAGTTATTTTTTTGTTTTAGAATAATTAAAATTATGATGCGAGAAGCCCAAAATCGATCTAAGTGGCGTGCAATGGGAGAGGCCTATGTCCAGCAGTGGACTACGATAGGCTGATGATGATGTGATACGGAACGTATCTCAACACAGCCTTGACATACCAATTAACGTCAAAAACATTAATGACGTTTCACTCATGTTATTTCAAATTATTGGAAGTTATAGTTTTGAAAGTAAGCTTTTTTTTTAGAAATGTTAATTTTGGTTTTGTGCAACCCTTATCAATCGGCCATTGTTTAGCTATAATTTGTTGTATTTTTTAAAATGTTTTTGTGTTCTATTTGTACACAGAATTATTTAAATTGAAAAATTATTGTTTTTTTTTGTAAGGTAGTTTCGTACAATATTTAAAAAATATATTGGATTCACAGATTCGCCATGTGTCCGATCATTGCGATATTATATTGTAATTAATTTTATTATTTAAATTTTAACGTTTGGCTATATCATTAACATATCTTCATGTTGTGAAAGGTTTAATAAAACCCTGTTTTTATAAGTGGTTTCATAAAAATAGGAGGACTAAAGAGGCTGTAGCGTAAAGGCCAACGTCCAAATCGGACGATTTGCAATCAACTGGTGGCGGGTTCGAATCTCACTCGGTGTAAGGGTTGCCTGTAAGAAAACTTTGTACATTTTAACCAGATGTGTACCTTGTAAATATTTTTATTCTCTTAATAAACCTACAATAAATATTATTTCTGTTGTATCAAATCATCAAATGCAAGAAAAACTTTTCAAATCCGACCGGTAGTTCCACAGAATATCGCGCAACAAACTCTCAATCTTTAATATTTAAAATATTACTTTAGATTAATAGTTCGTTCATTCAAGCCACACTCCTAGTTCTAAACGTATATACCACAAAAACATAAAATATAACCGGAATATGTCCGATTTAAATAGAAGCAGCACGCGATCGAAAGAAATTATTATACTTATATGGCGAGGTATGCGTTGAACAATGTAAATAAATAATGTAGTGACACTTACCTGTCTAAAGTTTCTGATGTTAGGGAAAATATGTATTTGTTGATACGATAAAACACTGTGACCTTCCACTCAACTCATAGTATACTGATGCGCCACACGGCCACACGGCACTGCATTTGTTTCAATTAAACTAGTAAGTTAGAGAGGGATGGAACAATGAAGCCGCGCAACGCCACAGGGACGTGATGTTGCCAAACCGCCTGCCGCGTCACAACGCTACATGGCAGTTATTTGCTCGACACATAGGTTTTTAGAACAATAGAATATACAACTGTACGATTTGCGAGATAAGGTTTAAATTTCATTATCTACGTCTATCAAGTGATGAAGTTTGAATCGGTTTGGCGCTAAACTCCTCGTGACTCGTGTTCGTGTCGTATTCCTGCCCACTTGTCAACAGGTATTTTAGTGTTAATTATACACTCACGGGTAATTACGATTAGTGTAAAACAACTACAAAAATTAATTCAAATTTAGAATTATGTAGATGCAAAGTTGGCACGCTTCTAAAAATTATCGTTTTATTAGGTACATAGTTAATTATTAGCTGTAGAAATAAGAGCAACTGGTATGGTGTGCAAAAAAGTTGCTAGATGATTTCTAAGACCCTATGTAATACAATAATATTTTTTTTTATAGGTATATCACTGACAACTCTAACAAAAGCTTTGATAGGCGTGTTGTTCAGTGGTTAGTGACTTACAGATGAGCTAGAAATCACGGGTTCAATTCATGACAATTATTGTGTACCGGTAACCAAGTAGGTTAAGACACTGCAAAGTTAAGCAATCCCAGCCAGGCCAGTCTGTGGATAGCTGACCATTCTTACCACATTAAGACCCCTTTGTGCCTCGGAGAGCATGGTAAGCCTTAAGTCCCGGTTATCATACGAAAATCTGTGGTCATCGTCACATGTAGTTGAAGCCCTTAGAAGTCCGACCACAGTCTTTCTACAGAACTTCGATATCATGTACATGGGTTGAAGAGATCTGCTGCCAGTCGCTCCACGTAAAAATCGAAGTTCAGTCGTATCGTAGTAGACTTAAAGCCGACCCCAACCTTGTTCGGGAAAAAGGCTAGGAGGAAGAGCTTGTTCATTTGCTCTGTGTCTGGGTGTTGTTTACCTATACTATGTCTGCATTTTAAAATATATAAATGTAAGTAGGTATGATTATTAGCAGCGTAGTTACCATTGATACAAGTACAAACCTAATTTGTCAATTACTTACTTTTATTATTTTCTGTATGTTTTTTTTTTTAAGACAACGCCCGCATAGGCATATATCCTGTGTCGCGGGGGACTTTACAAACATATATGAATCTGACACAAAGAACACCCAGACTCAGAACAACAATTTGTGGGTCATACTAAGTGTCGTCCCATGTAGGGATCGAACCCACAACACTCGGCGTGACGACCTCTTAAACCACTACGCCACCCGTGCAGTCAAATATACTATGTGTATGTGAACTTTTAGCGTGAAGTGGCTTATTCCTCTTGAAGAATTCTGCCAGAGGAGCTTTAAATTTACTTAATTTTAGTACGTTACCGTGTTGCCTAATGGATCAAACTATGCATGACAACAGCACTGCAAAAAGAAGGAAAACTGAAAACAAACTATATAGGTACGAACCAGTCTGACTAGCGTGGTATAGTAGACCATAACCTCCTTTCTATCTCTCCGGATCTCCCAATTACAGTCTCAGTCCCGTTTCCCGTCCTGTAAACAGGGTATCCTTTTCCTTACCCAAATTTATCATTTCCTGTATGGCCTATTTACATTTGCGATTCAAATAATATCATGTAATGATAAGGGAGATGGTGATGATGATGATGCCTTTGTGATTTAGAGTGTTCTGGTGATGAAATCATACATTTATTTTATTACTATAGACACGTCAACAGTATACATTTACAACACTGTTCAAACTATTTATTTAAATGGACCATTTTAATAACCCGTAAATAATGACTGCACGGATGGCGTAGTGGTTCAAGCGGTCGCCTTGCCGCTTTATACTGCTTCCCCACATGGGACACCACTTTTGTGATCCACAAATTGTTGTTCTGAGTCTGGGTGTTCCTTTTGTCCGTTTCATGTATGTTTGTAAAGTCCCCCGCGACACAGGATATATATTCCTAATGTGGGAGTTGTCTTTTTTAAGAAAAAAAAATGTTCAAAAACTCTAAAACTAATTTAGGCAAACTATTTACTCTTAATTAGCAGTCACGCTATCGTAGTGTTACCTATAGATACCAAGATCTACCTATATTAAATTTAATACACGTAAATCTGCTACTACTACAAATATTTTTTTATATTATTATTAGAAGAACGAAGAAACATATAAAGGAGAAGAGACGTCTCTTATCAAGTGACGCGTCTTCTTGCTTTGCATTAATTAAAGTTGCTGCTGAGCTAGAGGTTGTCCTACCCAGAACAAAATTAAATGATTGAGTGAAGCGTACAGTGATTTATTTCAATATTTAGTAATATGCAAGTGTATTTATCTGTATAAGTTTACATACACGGTATGGTACATGGCATGTATGTAATTTGGGATAAGATGGTCGTGTGTAAGGTGTCTCAAGTTGTTGTTATTGTTATTAAGCAAGGAAAAGATAGAAAAATATTCATGTAGCGTAAAAAAAACTCCAAACAGGCCATTTGAAATATTTTCATGAATTACTTTTATAAGAAGATTAAGCGCGGATCGCTAAGAACAAAACAGGAGCGAAACCACAGTACGTATTTTACCATAGAATTTGTTGAACCAGTGGTAAGCATGTTATATCGATTATGTGTTCGTGTGGGTACGTGTGAATACGTAGATGTGCATAAGGAAGTTGTGTGTGTGAGTGCGTATGGTGCACACACTGCGTTCACGCGACATCTGCCGGAGTACGCACGTGGCGCGAACACCTTTTGTCCAACGAATACACCCATTTTTTACCAACAAATTTATTTTCATACTGACACAGTTCTAAAATTAAACTTTTATACTGAATGTTGCATGAGTGGATAGAGTGATGGACAGATCTTATACCTTGGTAATAAACTGTAATATGCTAAACTGATACTCAATACAAATATTATGGTTTTATAGTGGTCAACCACTACATTTCGAAACTAGGTCAAAAATTATGAATCCGATTCGCACAAAGACAACGTATTTTTTACTAACCAAGGAACAGCAGAAAAGCTCATAGCGGCTGATGGTATACCGGTCGTTGTAAATTCTTGTACCACATCAGGTCTTTTCTTCTGCCGTGGAGTTCAGACTTGAGGTAAACCTGTCTTACCGTATCAGTTCTGTTCTTCTGTCTAGGACTAGATTAATGAAAACTCTAGAAGCGAGTAATAACATGCACCAGTGTTGGTTTTGCCAACTGAACAATAATAAGAATTTAAAATAGAATTAGAACAGCTACTAAATGAAACTTGTGTAACTAATATTACTTATAATATTCATACGAAAGTGAGTTTTTTGTTTGTGTGTTACGCTTATATGCCTAAACTGCTCAACCGGTGATCATGAATTGTTACCATGACATGGACCATTTTCTTGGATAGTTGTTTAAAAATAGTATATAATGTGTTAAAAGTGATTTAAGTATTGATTAAACCAAATTGAAATTATAGGTTGTTGTAGTGTGTAAATTTAAAAATTATAGTTTTAAAAAACTAAAAAATAGAAAATAAATTTGAAAAAAAAAGCGTTGGGTGCCTGTTGTCAATAGTATAAAGCACCCCACGCGAGTTTTTTTAGTTTTTTTAAAGTTTTATTCTTTTTAAATTAGTGTATTGTCATCGGTCCTCGATATATCTACAAAGTTTGAACGAATTCTGACCGTTTAAAGTCAGTCAAAATCACGACCAAAGGAGTCGGTTACAAACATACAAACAAACATACATGAATGAAGCTAATATAAAGCTCGTAAAAAAGATGACAATAACATCCCGCTGATATTCTCGTGCTAGCAGTTAGTCCCAGATTTCAAGAGTCTGCTCTAGTCTAGTCTAAGTCTGTTAACTCTGGTATGCTTAGACTAAACAACTTGAATTGAATAAAAATGCCTACATAGTGCCGGGTTCTTGCCGGGTATTTCTAGAACATATAAAGGTTTATGGTAAAGGTACTGTGCTAGATTCACTTGTGACATAAGCGGTTGAAATTAGGCAGCAATGTATGGTTACAATCATTTCTACGACAAGTAACGCTTTGAACATTAAAAATAAATCCAATAATATACTGAATAATCTACAAACTTAACTCACTTAAGTTTACATAACAAAGATGGACAAGTCAAACAATGAAAACGTGAACCAATAAATTTGTTCAGCAGCCATAAATTCTTCGACTTAACCTTGGCCTTTAGTAACGTGACAATTTATAAACAACTGCACGCAGCATATTGATTGTAATAAAAATATATTGACTGTTGGCTCTTACATCGTTCTAATTACTGTCTCCATTTTACATCCGTCACGACAATTGTTCGAACACGGTACTGTGATTAAAATTGATTAAGTAAAATTATTCATTATTTAAAACAAGTTAAATCAATATGACCTTCTACATTTGAATATTGATCACACTTTAATGCTAACACAAATGACACAATCTGTTGATACTGTTTGTTTTTTAACATCTTAAAATCTATTGTTCGATGAGAGACGGAGTGATATGATGATAGTCACGACAGAATGCAATTTCTTTAATGATTTATCTATATCGATTGTGTACGAATGTTCAATGTTCGAACAGAGAGTGAACAATAAATAAATTCCTAAGACATCGACGTTTCTTCTAATACACTGCACTTAGTAGACGTACTATGTTAAAAATCTCACATGGCAGATATACGAATCAAATTTGTACTGATGTAGACTTATTTAGTGTTCATTAATCTCGAGATTTTTTCCTTTTTTTCTTAAAGTATATTTACACATTGCAATTTAAATAAAACATTTGCATAAACTCAGAGACAGAAATGATATATACTTCATTATAATTCAACAAAAATAATTTCTGATAAGAATACATCACATGAGTATGTTAAAAATATTGCATAATGGCTGAAAGGAATTTCTCACAGGAAACCTTTAAATAGAAACATTTTCAATTTTCTTTAGCTAATGACTGCGTCATGTCGTCATTAAGCGTTGTTTGTAACTTTTTGCTTAAAAACTCGTCTCGGTTTGATAATGGAAACACGTAACTCTCTTAGCGTTTTGTCGGCAGGTGAGCATATGACAGGTGCTCTAAACAGAATTTTACGTTGCAGCAATATGTATCGTTATACTTAACGCAATAATGATGGTCCTTTTTGAACAGCTTATCGCATACAAGTGAAATATAACAGTGCAAGGCTGACTGTGCAGTGCAGCCTTTAGCAATGACATCTAATTCAATTATTTCCTCACTTAGCTTTAATTTTGATAGCTGAAAATACTTTATCTCTTATGATTCTCTTTTTTCATTGTATTTGCAATCGAGGTCCTGTGTCACACAATTAATTTTTATTATTAATAGGTGTTTATGTCCCTTTTTGAAAGACATAACATAAATTTCTTATTTTAAAAAGTGTTATGGGATTAGGTTCCTTCATTATTTTTATCATTGTTAAATGGATGTAGAGTACATTGTGGCTGACCGACTCTTACCAGTTCTTCGGACTAATGAGTCACTGAGTCACTAACCCCAATCAATCAATATATTAGCCGTCGATCAATAACTCAAAATAATCAATAAACAATTCAAATCGGTTACACTTTGAAAATAGCAGACATATGTTCAACACCTTTCATAAACCGGTCGTACGAAGGACATCCGCTTTTTGGTGGATAAAAAAATCGAGTTCAACATTCTCACAGGAACCACTGCGTATCCGGTGCTGCGCCGGCGCAGAATAAAAACGATCATTTGTTAATGTCTGAGTATTGGGCCACCAGGTAACTGAGCGTCGTATTTGTTCACGTTTGAATCTGTCAATGTCATACATTCGCTAAACTGATACACACATTGTGAGTATTAGAAGATTTTCGAAAGTCACTTGAATGTATTTCGTGCTTAGCCGAGTAGGCGGGGTTACCAGTTTAACTAGTGGTTTAAATTAAGAATATCACTGTCAAATACGCAGTCTAGATCCGAGATAAGGAAAAGGAAATTCGAGGAATACTGTCCAACTTTGGTAAACACCTTATTTGGCTATATGTGTTCTTATAATAAATTTTGATGATTAATTGCAAGTATTATAATCTGAGGTAGCTATATATGTCCTTCAAAGGATTCCGATTCAAAAGTCAAAATAACATTTCAAATTGAAGACCGGATGGCGTAGTGGTTTGTGTAACGGTTCGCTATTATAAAGGTCGCGGGTTCGATTCCATTTAACAACATTTCCAACATTTAATGTTTGATGTGGTCTGGGTGTTCCTATGTAAAATCAGTATGTATTTACAAAAAAAAAAGTATATATGTATTTATATCAGTTATCTGGTAGCCATAGTACAAACTCTGCTTAGTTAGGGCGTTATGTGAATGTGGTAAAATATTATTATCATTATAAATAAAAATTAGTTAGGTTAGTAATAAACTATCTTCATTCTGAACTGAAAAAATCTATTAAATCAAGCAAAGCTGCCTACTATGCGTACCCACTCTTGGCTTCGATACGGCATCATAATGTGGGGAAATAGTGTAGATGCTGTGCTATGTGTGATTTTGATTTTGATTTTGAAACTACAGAAGAAATGCATACGAATTCTACTAACATAGGCGCCATGAAAAGTTGTAGACCATATTTTATAGAACAGGGTATTCTAAGTGTTACATCGCTGTACATGAAAAATTAATCACTGTATGCCTTAAACAAAGCTACACCCAGCTTCGCAATCTAAAGCACAAATCCCGAATGGCACTGCTTACATCGAATCTGTCCATGTTCTACTCGGGCCCATACGTGATGTCCATAAATACTTATAATAAGATACCATAGTCATTAAAGGATTTAAAAAGTGACTGCATATTTAAAAATAAGTTGCAAAAACACTTGTTAATAAAGTGCTACTATAAATTTCAGGAGTTTTTAATGATAAAACATTGTATTCTATTTAAAATATATAATTATTTTATAAAATAACATTGAAGACATTTCTTCAACTGTTGAATTTTTAATGCAATTTAATCATTAATATATACATATTTTAATTAGAATTACATTTATTCTATTATTATTATAATTTATTCTGTGACAATAGATAAAGTAAAATTGATGAATTCTTATTATAACTATGAGCATGTATAAAACGAAAAAATATCATAATGTATCATTTGTACCTTCATATTTTTAAACATTTTTGCTGTGCCATAACAGGGCTTCAAGTTGAGACTTATATTGTACCTATTGTATCTAATACAACTATGTACACACATGAATGCAATAAAGATTTGATTTGATTTGATATTAATAGTTAGGTTTCGATTAAGAAGTGACCATTTTTGTTTTGTCAAAAGTCAATCAGTTTTGTCAAAAATTCAATCAAATGTTCGTGGAAATATCCAAACTATTAAAATTTGATTGCTGCAATCTTTGTAGTCGCAGTTCACATTATACTGAAACACTGATATTAATAACTGGTTTTTTGTACACTCTCTCTCTCTTTCCCTCAATTTAAGGGTCAAAAGACAACATTGTGACTGTTGCTGCATTTCATAGGCGTGTTTTTAAAACAAAAGACGCTACAATGTCCTGATAACCTTGCCGCTGTCAATCGGGGACTATTTAATCATTATGCTCACAAGTAGCCAACATATCAGGTGCCAAGCCCTATCCACCATCTGTGACCCCGTTGGTAACCCACAGGACCAAGGAGTTTGTTAAGGAGGGAAGTGGATTTACTGTATTTCCAACTCCTCCAATTTTAATTTTGTTGCGGGTTCCAAGACAGTTTAATTTCTTCCTGGGACTTCCCGAGTGTCATAACTCGGTGTGTTCGTGGGTCACTGCTGTGGATCCTGGTGTACAGGAGTTACAGTGGTGGGCGTGTGGGTGGGATTAGTCCCATATTAAAAGCTTGGACCAACAATTTTTCTAGAGCGAAAATTATGTGCCATAGGCAAGGATCAGTTCCTAACCCAACAGCATCATAGCTGATAATACAGTTATCACTTAGCGTTCCTGTTCAAAACAACTCTAACATAGGTATACTATGCGCATTCGCCACAAAGCGTACATATATCATTTGTAACGCACTGAGGCTTTCACTGGCTTGAACCCAAAGAGATTCAGAAACAAATATAATAAAAACTAGGTCCTAACTAGGTAGGTAGGTAGCTGTGACTAGATTCTTGTAATGGATGTA